TATAATAAAACAGCAAATATATCTTATATATAATCTTATTTTTAGTTTAAAAACTTTTTGTACTTATAGGACTCGGAATTAATTTTTTTTTATCATTTTATGGCATTTGGAAAATATTATGCATTCCACCATTATCAAAGTAAAGCAATTTGTTCCATTTTTTTTTATCAAATTCAGTTCTGAGAAATTGCGCTGTGCGGCAAACATAACAAGTTAAAAATAAAAAAAGTTACTTCGAAATTTAAAAAGTTAATTAAAGCATTTTTAGCTTGCTTGCTCCCCCTTGCTTACTTCAGCGCAACCTATTTAATTATCGAAATTAAAAAAGTTAGGAACATTATTTAAACGGTTAAAAATGTATAATTAGCGCTTTGTTTATATGGCAATGGATCAATACATGCAAGGCTTTTCAAAATTTCACTGCTAAATTAAATCTATTTTTTTATTTGCAAACAAAGTTCAATATAACATTGTTGAATATTGTTTTTTTTTATTTTTAAAATTTGGACTTTACTTAAATGTGCTGTTGATATACATACACGTCTCTGCGGCATAAGTAATATATACTTCCTTAGATATTTTCAACAAAATAAAAATGATCTACCAAGAAGTGGAGTCAAATGAGTGGTCGTCTTTCAACCACGCATATAAAGCCATCAACCCATATAAAAACAGCATCCGCTGTTCGTATGAGAATTGACCACATACAAATATCACACTCACACCTCTTAACCGGAGAAAATAGATCAATATGCCCAAGATGCGGACTAACCCCAACCGATACACATCTACTGGATGACTGTAAGTCACTGGCGTCAGGCGTCAACACTTCAACTCAAAAACACCGTCTTCGCTACTTAAAGATATAAACTCCTCGAATATTAATATTGTCACGTCATTCCTTAAACCTGCCAATTTATACCACCTTATATAAAGCAAAGCATCGTTCGTATAATTAATGAATAGAAATTTTTTATTTTTTATTTTTTTCCATATACATATGTACACTAAGCTTACTTCAATTTGCTTTTAATATAGGGCCGATGGTCTATGCAACTAGTATCCATAAGTTCCTTTTTTAATTGGTTATAATATTATAGTAATATGTATTATAATTAATTGTTGTAAATAAATAAATATACTTCCTTAATAGGTAAATGTTTATCTGGTTTACAAATGTCTACATCAGCTGACTTGGCGTACAGTTTAGTTTGACAAAGAAATACAATATAAGTTTAAAGTTGCTTTCTAAATTGTTATATAAATTATGCAATCTGAATGATTCACTTTGAAATTCTATGTTTATTTGATTTAAAATATCCAAAATATTTGACAAAAATAAATAATAAATTTTTATGGCGCTTGGTTCACACCGTCATCGAAATAAAATATAAATAATATTTGCAACGCGTTCCACTGTGACGGTAAACGATCAACACAAAATTTTGGTTTTTTTTTGTATATAAAAAGTGCAGTTTATAAAACTAAATCAACGCGTTTATAAAACTAAATCAAAACTTGCACTTATTTTACTAAAATTTTATAACCGATGTATGTATCTGCATACCCAAAATTTTTCTAAAAATTCGGATTAAAAAGTTCAAAATTTTGATGAAAATTCTTAGAATTTTTCTAAATTCTGTATAAAGTTTGAAAGTTTGACTTGTGTGATTTTGGTTAAAGCATGAACCATATTTTTATAAAAAATAACAAAAAAATTAACACAAAAAACACTGCAAATATCCATCAAACACCACCAGGCACTCACTTTTCATTTCCAGTGTATGTATGTGTATGTACATAAAAAATAAAAATAAGTATTTTTTCTCAGATTACAAGGTACTTAAAACTTAAAAACTATTTTTCATTAAAAATGAGACCACTTATTAGCATTTGGTTGTTTTTGGAGATCTAGTCGCTGTTTTTTCAATTTGATTTCTTTCTTGCAGCACTGTTAAAATTTGCGTACTGACGCTCACAAAGTTGTCGACAGCACGATACATACGTCTAAAACTTCTTTGGTTTTCTTTTCCAATTTTGATCAGCTCATCCAACTTCTCGTTCATTTCCAACTTTATTTCGGTTTCCTCATCTAAAAATTTCTTGAAACGTTGCCCTGTGCTTTCCACTCTTGGCCTTTTTGGGGTGCTACAAATAGTGGAAGGCTCCATTTGTCGCTTATTTGACGTTGATGGTATTTCGTTTGGGGTGCTAGAAAAATTAGAAGGCTCCACTTGCCGCTTAGATGAAGTTGAGGCCATTTCGTTGTTCGTTTCATCGATAAGAAGGTCCTTCGCAGATTCTGTTTGGCCAAGTGCAACGCCTGTAACACCATAGACCGATTGAGCAATTCCACATATACGTACAACCGATTCTTCTAATTGTGTTAATTGGTGTTTGGTAAAGGGCCCACCAGTAGCTCGAGCTTCGCATTTGTTGTGTGAAATTTTTTTTTTAATTTCACTCTTCCATTCAGTCCACGTCTGAGAATAACAAAGTTAATAGAACTCACATTGAGGCTGAATTTAACACTTACCTTCTTCCATCCATTAGCATCCTTTTGGGGTGGGCCTGCGCTATTTAGGGAATTTGTTAACTTTTCCCAAAGAGCATTAACAAAGGGCTTATCGCGTTTCGTGTAGCCCTTTGCGATATCGGGATTATATTCCATGAATTCCACTATAATGGAATTTTGTACATTGTTCTTGTGTTATCCCCTAATAATTGGAGATTAAAATACATATTTTAAATTAATTTAAGTTATGTACTCACATATTAGCAAAATATCCACCAAGAAAGAACAAAACTCAAATAAAATTCTGACAGCGATAAGCTGCTTGGTTTATTTCCGATAAGCAAACCGATAAAATTAGTTTCTATGACACCAAAAACCGATATTAATTCCGATTCAAACATCAAACCGATAATATCGGAATGCATGACACCAACGCGAATTTTTCATCGGTTTCAATTCCGATTCCGACAAAGGTCAGTTTCCACAACAACCCTGACTATTTGCAAAGACCCCACAATATAAATTTATTGTAGCGGACTCTGGGCACAGCGAGTATACCGTAGCACAGAAAACAGAAGCGTCGGGGCCTTCAGAATAAAGCGCTTTGTTACAATTGGCGCCCGAGCAGGGACCCTGCAAATAGTACACTACAAAGAGAACATTTCGCAACCGATAACTAAACCGGCCATGAAGGAACCCGTGAGCATAGTATGGCTGGAAAGCATATCTAAAAAGCAGTTGGTGTAAATCACGCAGGAATTGGGCATCGAACACACAGGCACCACTCGAGACATTCGAAAACGCATAGCGGCATGGACCACCAAAGCAATCGTCGACCTGGAGCTTCACGCAAAATTTCTCGCGATGGAAGCAGCATACAACGAACACGAGGCCTCCTGGGGAGACGAAAGTGAACCAAAGATACCGTTACCCATGAACCAAGGCGAAAGGACCGCTAATGCGTCCGTTAGGCTGCCAATGCAGAGCCTGTTAGCACATCCACCACTGAGTACACAACCGCTACCGCAACACCCACCAACGACATCCATCGCACCAAGCGCTGACCTACTAACCAACGGCAACCAGGTACCTACCATTACTGTTGCGCCCGTCATTGACCAGGTGCGCAAGTGGTCGGTGATATACGATGGAGGACGCGACCCGTTGGCGTTTGAAGAACGATTAGAGGAGCTGGCCGACGTGATCGCGATTCAAAACCTGATGCGATACGCGGGTTACAGCAATGAACAATGGCTGGAAAGGATTTTTTCGCAACAGCCACCCCGAAAACTTGCTGTACATCAAGCGATAAAATTATAGTACTTCCAGGGAACTCCTCACGCTCGCAGAAGAATATGAAAACATTTACGAAAGCCATCGGCGGGTCCTAGAAGCATCACGACGAGAAATAACTAGGCACGTTGGTGACGATCTCATGACCACCCCAGCCAAGACAGGCATTTCAGCAGCGACTGCCATCATCGAAAAGCACAACATCATCGAGAAGCACCGTATAACACCGCGGTGAGAACCCTACCCCCCTCAATAGCTGCGACTCAAACTTTTCATATCGGCAACACATGCAGGAGGTGTGGTGTGGTCAAGAGGGACACTTCGCCCGAAGGTGCCGTAACCCACGGAAGCTGTGCTGTTGGAAGTGTGGCCGGGAAAACATACGAACAATAGAGTGCTGCTTCGCCAGGGAATAGGCGCGATGAAGCCCCCGAGTAACCAATAATCTGGAGGCAAGAACGCGGCCGCCTTTACGCCCTAATCTCGTTGGGTGGAGCGCCCGCGGAAGCGGTCATCGACACAGGTCACTCGAGGAGTTTCCTGTCTGTCAGCTGGGGGGAGCACTTGGTTATCTCGGGGAGAGGCGCAAAAATAATAATGACCATAGGGATCCTTATGGCCGCCTTGGGCAAACGATCCACAACGCCGTTCTACCTGGAGCAATTGACGACATCATCTTGGACCTGGACACAGTAGGAGGAATCGGAGCTACGATGTTCTGCGGTGGCCACCGCATCATGTTGACGGATCCACCCATACAACCCACGCCGACGACACCAAGCGACCCAGCAGCAACTACCGGGACACCGAACCATCCGCCATGAGAAGAAATCGCCCACCAATGGGCATCAAAAGGAGGCGCCGTACAAGACGGAGGTCTACAAGGGAGAGGATCATCTGAATAGAACACGAAGACCCCAACCACGGAGAAAAATTGCAGAAATTCGAGACTATAAGTGGAGTAGCACCTAATCGTCATGACGGACGAACGCCCCATCAAGCAGCGATACTTTCTGCGCAACCCTGCAATGCAATCTATCATTGACACGGAAATCGACGAGCTATTCGGCAATTATGATGTATCGCAGTCCTCACAGTGCACCGATCGTATTAGCCCGGAATAAAAACGGCAAGTGGCGCCTATGCGAAGGTTACCGTCAACTCAACGCCCGATGAGTACCGGACCGGTACTGCTTGCCGAGGATATAGCACATATTGGACAAATTGCGTCGGGCGAAGTACAACAGTAGCCTAGACCTCAAAAACGGATATTGGCAGATTCCCCTGGAGCCAAATAGCTACCCGTACACCGCCTTCACCGTCCCGGGACGCGGCCTGTTCTAGGAGCGCGTCATGCCGTTCGGCCTACATTCCGCACCCGCAACATTCCAGAGAGCGACTACAGCGGGCCAACCTGCGCATTAACCCCGTGTGATTTCTTTAAATAGGAACTTCGGTACTTGGGCCACGTTATTAGTGACAAGGGCATACACACCGACCCCGGCAAAGTCGCCGCCATCCAGGAACTAAAACCTCCGACCAACGTGAAAGAGGTGCGCCAATACCTCGGGATAGCTTCCTGGTTTCGCCGGTTCGTACCACCCAGACTTCAGCAAGAAATTAAGCCTGCAGATGGTCGCGAGTAGTTTCGGCTTAGGGGCGGTACTCACGCAGGAGTTGGAAGGCGGTGAACGGGTAATTGCATACGCCAGTCGGAAGCTCAATAAGGCAGAAGTCAATTATTCGGCCACGGAAAAGGAGTGCTTAGCCATAGTCTGGGGAATACGCAAAATGAGGCCCTATCTGGAAGGATACCGATTCAACGTCATAACCGACTACATGCCACTTAAGTGGTTAAATTCCATCGAAAGTCCCTCAGGTCGTAAAGCGCGATGGGCCCTTGAGCTGCAACAACACGCATTCTTCATCGAGTACCGCGAAGGGAACTTAGTCGCGGACGCATTGTCACGACAACCACTAGAAACGCTACTATGAACAACAGTGGCGGAACCCCGATGCAAATGGTGGCACAGACGCGTTGACGAAGTACGTACCAACGCGGCAAAATACACCGAATATCTGATACAGGACCCCAGAACGACCCCTTCCGCCAAAGAGTACTGCGAGAGAACCATGACATACCAAGCTCTGGACACATGGGTATTTGCCGAACAGTTGCGCGTATTGCCAGTTGGTATTATTGGTCAGGAATGTTTCGCGGCATCAGCCGGTACGTTCGTCAATGTGAGTTCTGCCAGAAGTATAAGGAGGGACAACACAAACCAGCCGGCAAGATGTTCTCGCAGGTTGCACAGAAACCTTTCGCCAAGTTATGCGCCGATTCATTGGACCCCTACCACGGTCCACGCGTGGCAACGCCATGTTGCTGGCATTCTTCGACCGATTTAGCAAGGGGGTCGAGTTGGTCCTTATGATACAGACTTCGTCGCGCGTTTAGGGAGCGCAACCTCGTCCAATTCGGTGTACCCAGGTTTTCGGACAATGGAGTACAATTTGCCAGCACACTCCGGCAGCGCTACCTTCAGGAGGTGGGGGTACGCCAACAATTTGCGGCCCCATACACCGCCAAGACAACCCGACGGAACTCGCCAACCACACGGTAAGGCGGATTATCGCACAACTTACGAAAATACAACGTAAGCGATGGGACGACCGCCGTGAACACGAGCGTGACAGCCTCCACAGGATACAGCCCAGCGTTCCTGGTGCAAGGACGGGAACGACGACTACCGGGAGCACTCTTCGACGAAATAATTGACGCAACAGGCGAAATAGCTCCGACGGCCGCAGCAAAATCCACGAGGATGCAGGTAGCGTTCAGGATCGTCACACAAAGCATGGAATGTGCCGCGCGTCATTACAACCTGCGTTGCCGGTAGTGGAACCCAAAAATCGGTGAGCTGGTCCACAGGGTTTCGCGGCAAAATTAGCCCCAAAATATGCCGGCCCCTACCAGGTACCCAGATACGTATCACCGGTAAAAGTGGAACTACGAAGAACCGACGATGGGAGGACAAGAACGGCGAACATTGCTCAACTGAAGGCATACAACACGGCCGAAACCGCTACAAAATAGTAAAACAAAAAAAGGGAGAGAAAAAAATATATTAAATAAATTCCATTTTAACTACAAAAAATAAAATTAGCAAGACCGTCGCGTCAGTGGAGGCAATCATTCGATCATCAACCAGCGAACCATCCACACCTGGACAAAGCGAAAGAAATATGTAAAAAGGAAAATCATTCATCAATGAATCTTAAAGAGACAAGCAAAATGGAGAATAGCGGGCCGCCGCCGCACCCACAGCCAGTATGTACGCCATCGCCATCCACGCGGAAACGACCTGCGCTGGCGGTCGCAAGGTACGCGGCCACATCCACACACCCAGCATGCTGACAGCAGCATGCGCCGCCGCAGCCCAAACAACTGCTCGGCGGGCCATCGCCGCGCGCACGGCCGCCGTGCACGCCACAGCAGCTTTCACAAGGGTAGCACACGCCGCCCACGAAGTCGCCCGGCGCACACTCGCCGCTCGCCCGACCGTCAGCCCAACGGGAGACAATGGACACAACACCGCCTGGGAACCCACGTTCTCTGTGGGGAGGGTAGTGGCAGGCCACGACACTACACACGAGAGCGTAGTTGACACGGACCAAACTACGCCCGACAGTAGCTCGCCCAGTGGCAGCACAATAAGCGACAGCTCATCGAACACCAGCACGACAGCTCACCAGCCGATAGCCCAGCTAGCGACAAACTAACATGAAGCTACCGGCGACCAAGACACCGACATTGGATTGCCCGAACCACTAGAAGTCGAGTTATCCTCAGACGAGGAACCACCTCAGCAGGCGACAACGGGCCCGCGAGTAATCTTCCTGCTAGGACCAGGCGGAATAGCACTATACGAAGCCGACCTGCAGACGCTGGCAGGACCCTACTAGCTGACAGGCCCAATTATCGATGCCTGGGCGAGGGGCCTGGATGCCACGCTCAACGCACGAGGCACCATGCTCAGCCCATTCGTGGTGTGGTAGTTAAGCCAACCCGACCGGGGAGTGAACTACTAGCGCATGCACCGGTAAAAACGCCACATCGACTTCTTCGGCCAACGGGTTATCCTCGCGTCACACAACGTCGCGAAACATTGGTTCCTGCCCGCCCTTGCCAATCAGTAGGTGACCCACGACCTATACATCTGTGTGGCCGACTCCTGAAAGTGGCGGGAGTTCCTCCGCTGAGAGTACTTTAGCAACCACCGGAGACAGCTACACTACTACCGCCACCACCTCGACCACCAACACCCCTGAGATATCACCGCCACGACCTCTAGCACCCACCAAGGTAACCCCATAACCACCGTCACCCCCACGACCATCAGCACCATCCGAAGTTGTACCACCACCGTCCCCAAGACCATGCCAATTAACACCATCGAGAGGACAAATAATAATTCCCGCCGACGAAGCCAGCGGGACAGCACTACACCAGTTCCCAGAGATTGCTGAAAGGGTCCGGTGTTTTCCGGAGGCTATGCATAGGGAACTATCAAGCCACCATATACCAATAGGAGCACGTATGTGGCCAAAACATCCCAAGCATTAAGCCCGCCGAAGAGGGAGGGAAGTGTGGGGGATAAATATTCGCGGAATTTAGCGCACACGAGCGCGTACCCCTACGCCAGCAATAACGACTACACCACCAACAACAACGACTGCAGCAAAATCATCGACACGGCCAACCAACATCCTTGCTGACACCGTCACCATAGCGACGCAGCATATAGCTATACGACTCAGCAACACGAAGAGCAACAGCTATAACAGAGGTGAGTCAGCAACATACCGCTCTAAGCTCTTCACTAAGCAATAGGGGTATTCTCCAAATCTTGCAAAGCCATTGCACGTAGCACGGATTGCACGGATTGCATAAATTGCAAACACACAACAAGAAAATTCATGGGAAACAACATTTCCTATCGCTGCAAAATATGCAACGTCGAAACCCATGTATATATTTTGCAAAATAGCATAGCAAGATAATAGCGACCCTGTGCTAGTTGTTTTGTTGTTGGAATTGCTACATATTTCTCTCATTCCTCTCATCTCGCTCACTTAATTTTTTTTTTGCTGTCTCTTGTTATTGTATTTGATACATAATTTCGCTGCTTGCTCCCCATGCATGCTACCACTTTGCAATGGGGTGTTCTCGTACTCTTCGAAATTTGGAATAGTATTTTTGCATTTCGTGCAATCCGTGCATCGTGCAAGACTTCGAGAATACCCCTAATAGCTTTTCACTTGTAAATAGTTTCCTATGCAAGGCTGGGCTGTTCAAAGGTAGAGCGCTGCCACTCCACAGTCTACCGTGAACCCGCATGGCGGCGGCACCCGTTCGCCCAGCAGCAAGTGTCAGTAGCGGAGCTGTGGTCGTGAACGCACAGCTATTAGCGAATAGCTCTTGACTTGTAAATAGTTTCCTATACAAGGCTTGGCTGTTCAAAGGTAGAGGGCCGCCACTCCACAGTCTACCGTGAACCCGCGTGACGGCGACGCCCGCTCATAACATAGCAGAGTGCCGACATAGTAGCGCCGACGTCGCACCGCAGCAGAGCGTCGATAGAATAGCACCGGTAGAAATTTGTACACCGTTAATCGTATTGTATTTTTAGAAAATAAGAATTTACACATTTTTGAGAATAAGGATAATTAAATAAAGTACTATTTGCAAAGGCCCCAAATTTATTGTAGCGGACCCTGGGCACGGCGAGTATACCCCAGCATAGAAAACAGAAGCGTCGGAGCATTCTGGGTAAAACGCTTCTTTACACCCCTCATAGCAGAGTTAACATCCCACTCAAAAATGTTTACCCGATTTAAGAGAAAGTCAACAACAGATCTAATGCAGATGCATTAATAATGTTAGCTGATCAGGCACACAGGAAGTGGTTGTGCCACAGGGTTAATTCTATTCACTGCCGGAAAGTGTACACGGTTGCATTTCATAATAATGTTTTATCATACATTTTGATTCTTTAAGATCAAACAGGACCTTTACATAAATACCTATATTGCTTTTAATTATGACGTTCTACAACATACTTTTCAATTTCTTTGTCGTATGTAGTTACATTGACGATGCTTGTGAAAGCAGTTCGATTACGAATACTACCTGTTCATGGAATTGACTAGATTAATTAAGTAAAACAATATTTACTTAGTTCTTTCATTGTTAAATCGGGCAAGTTATTGTATAATAAAAGTTTAACGAATTTGTTTCAATCAAATTATTGTTTACGAATGTGCAACCGTGTGCCACAATCGAGTTTCGAACTTCTCTTTGGTAAAAATCTTTATGAGAATTCGCAACTTCATGTAAAAAAATCGCCTCATGTAAAGGCAGCTTTAATTTCTCATTGCTTTCAAATTTCGTCGGCACGAGCGCGTTTTAAATCATGATAATTCGTACAAATTATCTCCTCGAAGAACAGAACTAAAATTATTACTGTATTAAACTTAGAAAAGCTATTTATTTACACATAAATAATTATGAAATCGATTATATTAGTTCAGAAAATCCTTTCTTATTTTAATCCTTTCCTAAAACCGTTTTCTTCTAAATATATGTTTAATAAATTGTACTTGGTACACCAAAGCACTTTCCAATTCTTTGTTGAATACAACTTTCTTATATGCAATAATTACTATGCATATCATTGGTTTGGGATTAGCTCAACAAATTTTCGCTGGAAGGTTATGTTTTCGATTTAACTACCGCGTTCATTTGAGCTATCAACAATACAAATTCTTGATTCAAAATAATGGTTTTTTATAGATATTATTAGGAATTTTCAGGATACAAGCAACTTAAAAACATCGTTCACAAAGAAAAAATTAAATATTTACACAAAAGTAGTTGATATAATATGTATACAAGATTAGTGGGTATAATTTCTCTCCTTACTTTTAAAAACATTTAGAGTTCGTTTTGATTAAAATTTTTTTGTTAAAATTAACCCCCACCACCTCCGCCTGAAAGCTCGTCTTCATACTGCTTACGGAAGCAGTCACCTACGGGGAAGAAGTCCCAACTGCGCTGTTGGTACATATTCCACACATATGTCTCTTGTCCGGTATATTCTGTATCCGGTTTGTTGATGAGATGCATCAAGAAGAACATGTAGTTTGCCAGATTGTGTTCTTTTTGCACGTGTGTGTCAAAACCGTGAGGTACTATATCGAAGAAATCTTTGCCCATTCCGCATATAAAGCAATTGGACTCCATATTTTCTTTCACCGACTCAAGTTGATCACGAAGCTCTCCAAAAGCGTCAATAATCAAACCTTGAATAATGGCCAGGAGTATAATGATGACAAAGAAGAAAAATGTTATGTCGAAAATAATGCGATAAACTTCGTAGTCATCACCGTCCGGATCTCCAATTTCATCACCAATCCCACCTCCGGCCCGTACGCCTTTGTATAAATGAAATACAAAACAAGTCAGCATGTCGTGACACTTTTTGTCCACCTCCTCATCTTCTTCCTGAATGTAAAACTTCCGGAAAAAGTTAAAAGCAATTACAGTGTATATGTATACAATTATCGTTAAGAGCATCACAGTGAGCACTAGTTGTTTTCCGTTATGTGTGACGGATTGTAAAATGGTTCGAAGAGTTTTGAAACCTACAGCGACGTCCAGCAAATGAGCAGCGAAAAAGAAATTATTAAAGTTTCCCATCACAGAAAAAGAAAAATACCACAGTGAGTAAAGGAAGGCATTGTCGGTAAATGTAACACCCGCCTTCCATACTTGATAGCGCCAATCTATGTTCATTATGTACTTCACCAAGCCACCTTCTTCGCTATCTTGTGCCATGAATGCGTTTTTTTTCCATACCGAGTAGATTAGATATTGAATCGAAGTCATAAGTTTCGCTATACTTCTGTCTCACCTTCTTTTTTACAAACTTGTCCCAATAGTTTACAGGAAACGATTTCGCCGATATCACTAATTTGTCCCAGTGTGACTTAAAGTCATCATCTTCTGGTTGGTCAGCAATAAAAAGCCCATCGAATTCTAATCGACGTGCAATTTCCTTTTCTCGCTTAAATATAGCTAAAGGCACCTTTAAATGGTAGTACGCAATCAGCATAGCGAGAGAAACCAAACTATGTAACATTGCAGCAATCCGTATAACATGAGCCATGTAGAAGAAATCTTCGTCAACATGCACTAGTTCCGGTAAATCTTCTTCTCCGCCTTCGTCATCTCCAGAACCATCTCCCGAACCACCACCAAACCCGGATGCAGCTAAGCCACCACCAGATCCTGAGCCAAGAATGAGTTCATCGTCACCTGAAGTTTCTTCATCATCACCGAAAGATGTCACTTTGTAAAATAGTAACATAAAATTGATGCTAAAAGCTAGTACCAATGCTACATATTTGAGATTATAAAAATTGCGTGCCAGAAAGCTAACAGCTCTGTGAGCATATTGAGCAAAGTCTATTTGATGAACAGCAGGCGTTTCTTGAGCAGTAGCTGAAGTCTTCTTTGCCTCAGCTTCAATAGAAGCCATAGCTGCTTCCTGGGCTTTCTGAGCTTCTTGTCGTTCTTGTGCCGCTTTTTTGGCTGCCTCTCCGCCTAGTAAGTCTACGATGGAAATTGGCTCTTGAATTTGATACTGATCGAATTCTACTGATTGGTCGGCAGCCACTCCTCCCTCTTCTGTACTTAATTCACCCGTTACTTCCAAACCATTTCCACTTGGGGATTCACGTACTGTTACTTTATATTGTCCGCTTTCATCCTTGTTCAACTCTGGCCCAGGTGGCTCTTCAATAGGTAGTGGGAGCAAGGCCTTACCAAATGGCTCTTCATCCACTGTTGGAGCTTCAATTTCTTCTGGAGCTGGCCCACGCATTAGATTCATAAGTATTCCGAAAATGTATCGAACCACACAGAAATTTCCATAGCCAGTATAGTAGAACATGTAAAATATTAATTTGAAAAATCCAATGATTAACTCCGGCACCGACTTGGTTTGCATTGCTCCTATTTGATGTTTTATGTTGGATGGACTCAGCATATATATTACAAATTTAAGGCCATCTTTAATAGCTTGTATGGTTCGCCGAATGGGATCACGTGCGGCCCGCTCTTCTTCCTCTTCACTCATGTATGAACTATAGGCGGTATCACGCTTTACATTACCACCACCATCATCTGTAGCCATTAAACCTGAAGCATGGGTCATTTCAAAGATGGCATCCTCACAAAAGTTTACAAAGGCCTCTAGTTTCTCTTTGTCACCACCTTCAGTGACTATGGAATAGAAAAATGCCCGTTTTGATTCTTTAATTTGAGGCTTCTCCCACTGTTCAATATTTGAGTCTTTAATTTCGAAATATACTCGCTCGATTCGTTTGGAACTGCCTAAAATCTCGATTCGTCCTAGGAAAGGTTCAAAATAATTAAGCACGGATCCAGCAGTCTCTAAGAAACGCGCTAAACGGGGCTCATTAGGCATATGTTCACTTAAGTTAGTCAATAAAACAGCCAGATTGAAACCGATCTCTTTTGATGGTTCGTGGAAGCGATCAACAAAATCACCATAGTCAATCTTGCCTTCGTGATTACGTTCACAGCATGCCAAAAGAAAGTCCATTTCATCCCTGTATTACGTTGCGAAATAAAATGCACATACACATGTATTCAAGTCAATAGCAAGATAAAATAAATACTCATACATATGGGCATATCCTGGGTTACGGACGCGACATTCGCACGCGTAACTAAGCTTAAAACAGGAAGGAAACTGAAAGATCGTATGTATATTGCAACTGTTACCAGGCAAAGGGAAAGTGCTATATTCAACAAAAAATTTTGGAAGTATAAACAGTTAAGTACAAAGCTCCAAGCAAATAAAAAATGGTACGGACGCGACAAAAATGGAAGTTTTTTGGGATATGTCCATATGGATGTACATACATATGTATGTACATTAGGGCGGGTCAAATTTGTTGTCTACTTTGTTTCGGGGACTGGCGTATTCTACTGGCAATTATGAACAACAAATTCCATGGAAACATAGCTGCATTTCGAGCCTCCTTATTTTTAATTTTAGTTGTTAATCCTAAACCAATTTCTTTTTTTTTACCGACTTCAATTCTATTCTATTGATGACATAAATAACATATTATTACAAAGTAGGTATCAAACTGAAGTAGCGCAAGAAAGTGGTATTCCCAAAACATTTTTGAATAGGGTTGCCAACTGAAGAAGTTTGTCACCTGTTTGAAAAATTTTATTCAATTAAATTTAAAATGTATATCCATCTGCCCTTTAAACGCAAATTTTGTTCCGAAAAAGTGCGATTGCAGGGCACTTGAGCAACATAAGAAAACGCTACTAAACTGACAAGATATATGCAATATTACAAGTTTGGAATGAAACGAAAGGTACTTAAGAAATCTTTGATTATGCATTTTTCTATAGTGTTGTCACCAATCTAAGACACTAAATTTAAAATTAAAGTAAATATGGCATGGTAAAATGGGCACCGAACGAAAGGCGTTATATTTAAAAAGGATTAAAAGAGTTGAAATATAAATAATGAAAGATTTGTGAAACAAAAAATATTAAAAAAGCTGCTCATGCAAACGTAAGAAATAATAAAAACGTAAAAAAATAATAGAATATCAGATGAAAGTTCCTTGATGGAAACATAACTTTTTGTCGCCAATTTTTTTTAATAGATATGGGTCAATCAATTAAAGTTTTAACATGAATAATTGGTTTGGTTTGGTGCGGCAAATGTTAAAATTATTTTTGATATATTTGAAAATTCGTTCAATTGCTCGTAGGCAAAATCGACAAGTCCCTGAAGTAATCACTTCAACATTCACCGATTGGTTTGGCACATATGCCATAATTTAGTGCCTGTTCAGTGCCAATTTATGCTGGTAAAAAAATTTGTGTTCTGTAAATTTTGTTAAAAACATGTAGTAGCCATCTCTTCAGCTGAAGTAAGCACTACACT